TTCACTCGTTGACAGACTTCGCATGCGCGAATATACTTTCGCACAAACTGATACTGGCGGGGCTAGTAAAAGTCTCGACTCACCGTGAGATATGCTTTCTCACGGCCACGATGTCCTCCTATAGGAGCATCGTGATACTCGAACATGATCCGCAAACGCAGATCAGTATCATCTGGAATGACAACACGTGGTGTGTCACCAGAAACGGCTGTATAACACAGTAAACCGTTGCGAGTAGTGTATCGATCTGATGCAGGTCGATACGCAGACGATAATCATTTCAACGATTCTCGAGATGGTTGTGAGAGATGTGTCAACAACTTCACAATCTCACCATCTTGGGGGTATGCCCGCCTCGCATCATCATGTAACGTTGTAGATGGGACTGAGGACGTCATAACCGCAACAGTGGATGTCTCACTGTTGGGTTTCACGACTGGTTCAAAGTCGGGACGACGTGAGAGTGCATCAGCGACGACATTAAGCTGTCCTGGATTGTACTCTACCGTAAAGCTGTATTCCGCAAAGAATGACAACCACCACGCCATTCGTTGTGAAAGGTGCGGGCTGTTCACTGCCGTGCGTAAATACGCATCGTTAGTGTAAACAATGAAGGGTCTATCTTCTAATAAATAGACTCTGAACTTCGCGAGTGCATACTTCATGGCAAGGAGTTCCTTGTCATGCACTGGATAGTTCCGCTCAGCAGGTTGCAGCTGACGCGACTGATAGCAGACGACGCGTTCAACGCCTTCAAGATCGTACTGCATTAATGCACAGCCGATTGCGAAATCGCTGGCATCACAGACCACATGAAATGGCCTGTCCTGATCAGCAATTGCTAGGACTGGGGATTGTATCAAGCTCTGCTTGATACCAACAAAGGAGCGCTGACATTCAGCGTTCCATAACCACCTCTCGTTTATTTTTCAACAAACGAGAGAGGTGTACAGTCATCTCGGCGTGATTGCGTGAATACTTATGAAAATACGCCGCTAGCCCAAGGAATTTTGAAGACCTTTGACATCAACCGGCACAGGCCAGTCGGTGATCGCCTTGATCTTTTCGGGATCAGGACGTACATCGTTCTTACCAACGATGCATCCAAGAAGTGGTATTTCGCTTGCTGCAAATATACACTTCTTGAGGTTGGCATACAATTGATGCTTTCGCATGATTGTAAGAACCTGTCGGACGTGGTACTTGTGAACCTCAACGTCCTACTTTCCATCCATAGCTCGACTATGGATGAATACGTCATCGAAATAACTCGGCGCGAATTCTCGTACTGGTCTCAACAGATGTGTATCACATCTGTTGAACGTGGCAGGGGCATTACTGAGCCCTTGTGGAATTACTAGCCATTCCCAGAGCATGCCGCTAGGCGTGCTAACTGCGATATAGGGTATATCCCGTTCCGCATAAGGATTTGATAGAAGCCATCCATCAAATCCATGGACGAAAAGATTGTACTCTTTGACATACCATCAATGATGACGTCCTTCCTTGGTATCGGCGACTGATCCGGTACCGTTGCAGTATTCAACTCGTTAAATGCATGCACAATCCGCCACCCTCCTGTTGCTTTTTGCACACAGAAGGTCGGAGAGCTAGGTGGGGAAGTTGATTCCCTCACATGGCCCGCAGCTAAACGATCGGCAAAGAACTTGTCGATCGCAAGTACTTGTTCACGAGGCAGTGGCCACTGCTTTATGACACAGTACTTCGAGCCTGTGATAAGCTCGACCTCGTGTCGAATACCTTAATCCTTCGGTAATTCACACGGAACAGTTTCAGGGAATACATCCTTGAATTCAACCAAATCTTCATAGAGAGGATTTGTCTTGAGCGATTCCCACGATTTGGAGTCATATCGCTTAACTCGTGTCTTTTCATCTAGGACACTCTCGTCCATAGATGAACTACTGAGAACTCTCTCGTTCTCAGTAAACACTGTTGCTGACCTTATGTCGGCTACACACTCGTCGTCAGCGACGAGTACGCAGATCTGCTTGACTTTGCCACTACGCAGATCACGCAAGAACCTTTTTTGTTCGAGCGTTGGCAACTGAGTGATCTCCGAAGTCAACTTCGGAGGCGCAATCAGATCAAGTGCATAAGCGCCTACACTTGATCCGTTATTGACTATGACATTCAATGTCTCCGTCATTTCCTGGGGACCTATTCCCTCAGGCCTCGAAGGACTTATTCCTTCGGCTTCCCGGGGACTTATTCCCGCGGGTTTTGGGGAACCTCTATCCGCCGTATTTATAATATTGGGACTTATTCCCTTAACTTCCTCTAGCTGGGGTTGCGCAACCACAGCGAGATCCTCTACGAAAGACTCTCCAGTCGATCTAGGATTATCGTTTCGCTTTACCTGAGCGATCGATTGTTTCTCTTCTAGATGTTCCCGCTAGGGATACATCTTTGTCCCGGTCCACTCGACTTATTCGAGTGGTGGACCTTCGGCGCAGCCTGTGTTTCCTCACAGCCACCGGAACTTTGCTCCGAAGTGTAACCGTTTGTTACACTAAGATTTTGTGTAGTCGTACTAACGACCGTACCACAAGTGAGGCCATCGCACTCACTCGTAGTACATCCACACGCGTGTGGACGCTCCAAAACGTTCATCAGATGGCCATCTGATGAACAAGCGGCAGGCATCGTTACTGTTCGATGTTGCCAGTTTACCCGTGGTTCGTACCTTCTGAGCCACGGTATTCCAAGGATGACATCAAATTTTTCATCCAAATCCAATACGATAAAGTCATCGTCATATTGGGTATCTTCTGGCGTATAGTGAATCTTCACTACACGCTTCATGACGGTTACGGATGCGCCTGTCGCAAGACGTACCGTCATCCTCGAAGGAGGTGTGTCACATTCAACAAACCTGAAATGACCATCTTCTAGCGATTGGCGTCGCACAAAATTGTTAGACGCCCCACAGTCGACTAGAGCTCGAAGGGACAACTTATTCGTCACTCCAAGTTTTAAGGTAATGAGCGAGATCTCATTACCTAGAGCAGCAACGCAAAACGTTTGCGTGTTGGGAGCAACCTTCATCAAGAGGCCTGAAAATTCTCTTGACGTTGCTGGACCAGTAGGGTGCTCCGCACCTACTGATCCTGTCCGTTTTATGACGGTCCATCCCGTTGTTGCGTCTTTGCACCAACTGCGGACCCTCGTCCCTGCCCCTTTCTCATGGGTGGACGGTCACTACGCCCAGTGTTGCGAGACACTGGACGAGGGGCACTACACTCGTAAGCGTAGTGTCCTGTCTTTTGACATCTGTTGCATCTCTGCAACTTCTTGTAGCCTGTAGAGCGAGCCTTCTCGCTCTCTACATAACAGAGTTCCATCGGCTCTGGACCTCCGTTGTCATATCGTCTCGGTTGACGATATGATGTCGAGCTGGCGCGAGCCTGTCTCAGACTGAAGTCTTCCTGTTCCGCAATGGAAATGGCTTGTTCTAGTGAACCTTGTTCAAGTCGGAACAGGTGAGTCTTGACGGGACCATCCGCAAGACCCTGCATGAACACCGAAACCAACGTGTGTTTATCAACCGGGTTGGAACTTATACAACTCGTGATAAGTCGTATACGTTGTGCATAGAGCGTGCACATCACGCTTACCTTGTTTGAGCTTCAAGAGTTCAGTTCGAGCTCTGAACTCAGCTCTAGGCGGTTCAAACGTTTGTCTGAGCCGCGACTTGAAGACTTCTAACGACCCAAACGCATATGGGTCGTGCAACTTGAGTCCCAAAGCCCAAGTCTTGGCACGTCCTGCCATATTTGATTGGGCAAATGCAACTTGCATATCCTCGTCGTCGATGCGACGCGCCCTTATGGCGTCATCCAATTCGACGAACCATCTCAAGAGAGAGTCCTCTTCGACTCCCCTGTACTTGGAGATGCCAATCTTCAAGGTCTCGGGTCGACGCGAGTGCATCGACCCACCAGCAGCAGCATGCTGCTGTCTCAACAGTTCAAACTGTTGAGCACCTTGTTCTCTCAACAACTATGCTTGTTGAGAACCTTGTTGGTGAAGCAAGGCTACTTTCTCGCGTTCTGCGTCAAGTTCATTTTGAATGAACTTGGCGATGGTAGCATGTTGGGCATCTCTATTGAGAGCCTCTAGCATGACGCTAACAGCATGGCTGCCCATGGTCGAACCCATTCGTTCAACCGCATCCCATTCGACATCTCTCAAATGGGAGTAGCCGACACGCGTAGCGTGAAAGCTTTGGTCACCTTCATCATCCAACATATTCATGTTAGATGTGAACGTGGTCCTTGGATGGACTACGAAGTGCTACCAGGTGTAACGGGGCACCCTGAAGCTTGTACTGATGAAATTACAAGCTACTTATTCTGACGACAGAATAAGGCGGTGCCTCGGAACTTCACGTACACTGGTACTGTAACGGGGCACCCTGAAGCTTGTACTGGTGACAGTACAAGCTACTTATTCTGACGACAGAATAAGGCGGTGCCTCGGAACTTCACGTACACCCGTACGTGCAGAGGAAGTCGGTAAGAAGAAGCGAGTACTTAGTTTGAGTAGAAAGTAGAACTGTATTTAGTGTAGGTAATGTCTGTAATAAATCACTATTTATCCTCATCTAACTATGTCTGAATACAAATGTGTATATCAACTATCTGCTCACCACTCATTGCGTGCGTCTTTCGTGGCGCGTCTTCGTTGGTTGATATAATGGCCTATATCAACCAATTAGGAACTACTCGAAAGTGCTGCAGAATATTGTCCTTATGACACTATTCTGAGAATATAACTCTTATAGTTATATTCTATTAACAATTTCTTATAAATTGTTATGTAACGGTTCACCCCGTTACATCACCCCCCCTAAACCATCAGTCACTTTAGTAACTGATTGAATGAATGGGTACTCGTCCCGAATCATTTGGGACAGGGCTTGCACTTGTTGGTCCGAGTCCACAGTCCATCAGTTTCATCGTATGGTTAACAAGTCCATGCGATGCGCGAACAAGGCCGCTGAGAGCGCGTCTGCACGTCTCTGTGCAGACGCCGAAGCAGAAACCGCTGCAACCGATGTCTCATCGGTTGCTGAAGCGACTCAGCCTATGTCACCTGGTGATGCAGGCGCTGGTCATGAAGACACTCATGTCTTCACAGAGGATGAGCTCGGTGTCTCATACTCTCCTGATACGGAAGACGGATCCGTATCGACGGCGATCGAATCCAAGCCGCCTGCCAAGCGTGGCATGGATGATGCTATACGTCGTAGCATCTTAAGTTCATCTGATGAATCAGATGAACCATCGCCGAAGCGAAGGCGCTCGAGGTCGCGAGACTCGGGCTCTAACAGTGGTGTCGGTTCTCCCATGGACACCACTTCGCAACGAGGTGCCAGTCCTTCTGTCGGCACGTCGCAGGAAGAGCGGGACCGTAACGTGTTGCGTCTCGCCCCCGAGAAGAAGGCATGGATGCCTCCCAAATCCGTTATGGATCACTTGTCGGCGACGACGAGTGATCGTTATCGAACACGGTTGTTCGATTCGTCAAGGATCCATCACCTTGACCCCAGCGCGAAAAACTATCGCGCTGAGAATGAATTCTTCATCGATGCTTTCATTAGACATCGATGGTACAGTGGGAATCACAAGCGTGATGGTCCCTCACTGCTTCAGGCGTGGAACGCCTGCATTCATAACCTTGAGGATGTAGGTCGTGACGCTTGGAACGACAAACTTATCAAAGCTCGTGATAAGTTTGAAAAGCGAACCCCGACAGGTGCAAGCTACAAGCTGCATCGTCTGTCAAGGGAGAAAGGATTACCATGCCTCTCAAGGAATCTCGTGCCCGTGTTGTGTGAACAACTCTGCACGAGCACCTAAGGAGCCTTACCTCCTTACCAGCCCGTGGTGGCGCGTACGTATCTCTACTGAGATGTACGAAGGGATTGACATCCTGAAATCCCTTTACGACCGTGCCGGGAAGACTTTCTCCGGCGGTCCTTCTGCGGCACAGGATGTGCCGCGTCGTACTGCTCAACCAAACCCAGTACGTCAACTATCAGTTGGGAGCGGGGCTCCCAAGTATCACAGGACGGGGGATAGCTGTGCCACCGGACGATATAACTCGTCCGACATCCGTTCACGTTGCGGTGGTTCAACAGCTGCTCAACTAGATAGCGCTAGCCACCGCGAGAGTCCTCTAATGGAGGTGGAGGAGGAGGGAAGACGCTCTCTACACGATCGTGTGTTCCCGAGAGCTTCTTTGATCGCGTAACGCAAGGGTTACGCAACGATCTCGAACATGAGCGGGACAGGCGTCTCCAACTGGCGGACGCTGTCTTGAAGCATCGATCTGAGTTTGCCTTTGCTCAGCTTGAGAACGAGAGAGCTCTGACATCTCTTCGTGACGAGCTAAGGGTAGCTCGTGGGATTGTTGATCGGTTTGGGGTGAGACAACTCCTCTTCAGACCCTTGTCGATGCCCACCATCGGGAGCACAAGGCTCTCTGCGAGATGCTTGAGCGCAAGGGCGTTCTTCATCGGAAGAAGCAGCGTACTGATGGTACGGCTTAAGCCGACCAACGTAAAACGTGGGATGTGTTCGCATCTTACGTGGCAACTCGATCATGTATGCATTGCCTAGGCGGTGCAATACACGAAATGCGCCGATGTACTTGGGTAGTAGTTTACTACTACTCAAGTTAGTCACTACATGCTTTGATAGATTAACCGTTGACAGTAGGACTAAGTCACCTTTATTAAATAAAAGAGTGTTTGCCCTTCCATTCTTGTCAGCGTTTTGCTTTTGCTTATCCACCGCTTCGGCGATGGAGTTCTGCACAAAACGGACTACCGTTTCACGAGCCATTATGAACTCATCTGCTGACTCGTTAGCTTCAGTGCGCTGTGAGTGCACTGCAGCAACATTAACCTTTTCTTCAGTGAGGGCTTCCGCACTCTCACTGGCATCATCTTCTTCGATACCGATGTTATCGATATCGGCATCAAACGCAATGACCTCATCGTCAGAGCGTGATGAGCGCGAACCAAATCGGCTTTTGCTCGCGCGAGTCTCTCCCCCTTAAACCAGAGTTACACTCGACTAAGGTTGGGTACACGCGGATGGCGCAAGCCATTCACGTAAAACGGTGTATGTGTCGTGGACGCATGCACCGAGTTGTTAATGGCAAACTCTACCATTGGCAAGAAATCACTCCGACTCTTAAAGGAGTGTACGTATCCGCGAAGTATCTCTTCGAGGACACGATTGGCACGTTCCGTCTGACCATCTGACTCTGGATGATCAGATGTAGACATCTTCAAGCGCGTTCCGAGTGATTTGAACACGGAACGCCAGAAATCAGCAGTGACGCGTGGATCTCTGTCTGATACGAGTTCACGGGGCAACCCATGAAGTCGGAAGATGGTATCGATAAAGACACAAGCACAGCCACTTGCCGTGATTGACTCGGGTACAGCCACTAGGTGTACCATTTTGCTGAATCTGTCAACAAATACGAGAATACCCGTATTCCCGCGTGCGTCTTTGGGTAACCCGAAGACGAAATCCATTGAGATGGATTCCCAGCACTCAGCCGGAACCGGTAGAGGCTGTAAAGATGCACGCAGTGAAGGACTTGACTTCACTCGTTGACAGACTTCGCATGCGCGAATATACTTTCGCACAAACTGATACTGGCGGGGCTAGTAAAAGTCTCGACTCACCGTGAGATATGCTTTCTCACGGCCACGATGTCCTCCTATAGGAGCATCGTGATACTCGAACATGATCCGCAAACGCAGATCAGTATCATCTGGAATGACAACACGTGGTGTGTCACCAGAAACGGCTGTATAACACAGTAAACCGTTGCGAGTAGTGTATCGATCTGATGCAGGTCGATACGCAGACGATAATCATTTCAACGATTCTCGAGATGGTTGTGAGAGATGTTTCAACAACTTCACAATCTCACCATCTTGGGGGTATGCCCGCCTCGCATCATCATGTAACGTTGTAGATGAGACTGAGGACGTCACAACCGCAACAGTGGATGTCTCACTGTTGGGTTTCACGACTGGTTCAAAGTCGGGACGACGTGAGAGTGCATCAGCGACGACATTAAGCTGTCCTGGATTGTACTCTACCGTAAAGCTGTATTCCGCAAAGAATGACAACCACCACGCCATTCGTTGTGAAAGGTGCGGGCTGTTCACTGCCGTGCGTAAATACGCATCGTTAGTGTAAACAATGAAGGGTCTATCTTCTAATAAATAGACTCTGAACTTCGCGAGTGCATACTTCATGGCAAGGAGTTCCTTGTCATGCACTGGATAGTTCCGCTCAGCAGGTTGCAGCTGACGCGACTGATAGCAGACGACGCGTTCAACGCCTTCAAGATCGTACTGCATTAATGCACAGCCGATTGCGAAATCGCTGGCATCACAGACCACATGAAATGGCCTGTCCTGATCAGCAATTGCTAGGACTGGGGATTGTATCAAGCTCTGCTTGATACCAACAAAGGAGCGCTGACATTCAGCGTTCCATAACCACCTCTCGTTTATTTTTCAACAAACGAGAGAGGTGTACAGTCATCTCGGCGTGATTGCGTGAATACTTATGAAAATACGCCGCTAGCCCAAGGAATTTTGAAGACCTTTGACATCAACCGGCACAGGCCAGTCGGTGATCGCCTTGATCTTTTCGGGATCAGGACGTACATCGTTCTTACCAACGATGCATCCAAGAAGTGGTATTTCGCTTGCTGCAAATATACACTTCTTGAGGTTGGCATACAATTGATGCTTTCGCATGATTGTAAGAACCTGTCGGACGTGGTACTTGTGAACCTCAACGTCCTACTTTCCATCCATAGCTCGACTATGGATGAATACGTCATCGAAATAACTCGGCGCGAATTCTCGTACTGGTCTCAACAGATGTGTATCACATCTGTTGAACGTGGCAGGGGCATTACTAAGCCCTTGTGGCATTACTAGCCATTGCCAGAGCATGCCGCTAGGCGTGCTCACTGTGGTTTAGGGTATGTCCCGTTCTCGCATAAGGATTTGATAGAAGCCATCCATCAGATCCATGGACGAAAAGATGGTACTGTTTGCCATACCATCTATGATGACGTCCTTCCTTGGTATCGGCGACTGAGCTGGTACCGTTGCAGCATTCAACTTGTTAAATGCATGCACAATCCGCCACCCTCCTGTTGCTTTTTGCACACAGAAGGTCGGAGAGCTAGGTGGGGAAGTTGATTCCCTCACATGGCCCGCTGCTAAACGATCGGCAAAGAACTTGTCGATCGCAAGTACTTGTTCACGAGGCAGTGGCCACTGCTTTATGACACAGTACTTCGAGCCTGTGATAAGCTCGACCTCGTGTCGAATACCTTAATCCTTCGGTAATTCACACGGAACAGTTTCAGGGAATACATCCTTGAATTCAACCAAATCTTCATAAAGAGGATTTGTCTTGAGCGATTCCCACGATTTGGAGTCATATCGCTTAACTCGTGTCTTTTCATCGAGGACGCTTTAGTCCATAGATGAACTACTGAGAACTCTCTCGTTCTCAGTGAACACTGTTGCTGACCTTATGTCGGCTACACACTCGTCGTCAGCGACGAGTACGCAGATCTGCTTGACTTTGTCACTACGCAGATCACGCAAGAACCTTTTATGTTCGAGCGTTGGCAACTGAGTGATCTCCGAAGTCAACTTCGGAGGCGCAATCAGATCACGTGTATAAGCGCCCACACTTGATCCGTTATTGACTATGACATTCAATGTCTCTGTTATTTCCTGGGGACTTATTCCATCAGGCCTCGAAGGACTTATTCCTTCGGCTTCCCGGGGACTTATTCCCGCGGGTTTTGGGGAACCTCTATCCGCCGTATTTGTAAGCTTGGGACTTATTCCCTTAACTTCCTTTAGCTGGGGTTTGCGCAACCACAGCGAGATCCTCTACGAAAGACTCTCCAGTCGATCTAGGATTATCGTTTCGCTTTACCTGAGCGATCGATTGTTTCTCTTCTAGATGTTCCCGCTAGGGATACATCTTTGTCCCGGTCCACTCGACTTATTCGAGTGGTGGACCTTCGGCGCAGCCTGTGTTTCCTCACAGCCGCCGGAAGCTTGCTCCGAAGTGTAACCGTTTGTTACACTAAGGTTTTGTGCAGTCGTACTAACGACCGTACCACAAGTGAGGTCATCGCACTCACTCGTAGTACATCCACACGCGTGTGGACGCTCCAAAACATTCATCAGATGGCCATCTGATGAACAAGCGATCGTTACTGTTCGATGTTGCCAGTTTACCCGTGGTTCGTACCTTCTGAGCCACGGTATTCCAAGGATGACATCAAATTTTTCATCCAAATCCAATACGATAAAGTCATCGTCATATTGGGTATCTTCTAGCGTATAGTGAATCTTCACTACACGCTTCATGACGGTTACGGATGCGCCTGTCGCAAGACGTACCGTCATCCTCGAAGGAGGTGTGTCACATTCAACAAACCTGAAATGACCATCTTCTAGCGATTGGCGTCGCACAAAATTGTTAGACGCCCCACAGTCGACTAGAGCTCGAAGGGACAACTTATTCGTCACTCCAAGTTTCAAGGTAATGAGTGAGATCTCATTACCTAGAGCAGCAACGCAAAACGTTTGCGTGTTGGGAGCAACCTTCGTCAAGAGGCCTGAAAATTCTCTTGACGTTGCTGGACCAGTAGGGTGCTCCGCACCTACTGATCCTATCCGTTTTATGACGGTCCATCCCGTTGTTGCGTCTTTACACCAACAGCGGACCCGCGTACCTGCCCCTTTCTCATGGGTGGACGGTCACTACACCCAGTGTTGCGAGACACTGGACAAGGGGCACTACACTCGTAAGCGTAGTGTCCTGTCTTTTGACATCTGTTGCATTTCTGCAACCTTTTGTAGTCTGTAGAGCGAGCCTTCTCGCTCCCTACATAACAGAGTTCCATCGGCTCTGGACCTCCGTTGTCATATCGTCTCGGTTGACGATATGATGTCAAGCTGGCGCAAGCCTGTCTCAGACTGAAGTCTTCCTGTTCCGCAATGGAAATGGCTTGTTCTAGTGAACCTTGTTCAAGTCGGAACAGGTGAGTCTTGACGGGACCATCCGCAAGACCCTGCATGAACACCGAAACCAACGTGTGTTTATCAACCGGGTTGGAACTTATACAACTCGTGATAAGTCGTATACGTTGTGCATAGAGCGTGCACATCACGCTTACCTTGTTTGAGCTTCAAGAGTTCAGTTCGAGCTCTGAACTCAGCTCTAGGCGGGTCAAACGCTTGTCTGAGCCGCTACTTGAAGACTTCCAACGACCCAAACGCATATGGGTCGTGCAACTTGAGCCCCAGTGCCCAAGTCTTGGCACGTCCTGCCAGATTTGATTGGGCAAATGCAACTTGCATATCCCCGTCGTCGATGCGACGCGCCCTTATGGCGTCATCCAATTAGACGAACCATCTCAAGAGAGAGTCCTCTTCGACTCCCCTGTACTTGGAGATGCCAATCTTCAAGGTCTCGGGTCGACGCGAGTGCATCGACCCACCAGCAGCAGCCTGCTGCTGTCTCAACAGCTCAAACTGTTGAGCACCCTGTTCTCTCAACAACTATGCTTGTTGAGAACCTTGTTGGTGAAGCAAGGCTACTTTCTCGCGTTCGGCGTCAAGTTCATTTTGAATGAACTTGGCGATGGTAGCATGTTGGGCATCTCTATTGAGAGCCTCTAGCATGACGCTAACAGCATGGCTGCCCATGGTCGAACCCATCCGTTCAACCGCATCCCATTCGACATCGCTCAAATGGGAGTAGCCGACACGCGTAGCGTGAAAGCTTTGGTCACCTTCATCATCCAACATATTCATGTTAGATGTGAACGTGGTCCTTGGACGGACTACGAAGTGCTACCAGGTGTAACGGGGCACCCTGAAGCTTGTACTGGTGACAGTACAAGCTACTTATTCTGACGACAGAATAAGGCGGTGCCTCGGAACTTCACGTACACCCGTACGTGCAGAGGAAGTCGGTAAGAAGAAGCGAGTACTTAGTTTAAGTAGAAAGTAGAACTGTATTTAGTGTAGGTAATGTCTGTAATAAATCACTATTTATCCTCATCTAACTATGTCTGAATACAAATGTGTATATCAACTATCTGCTCACCACTCATTGCGTGCGTCTGTCGTGGCGCGTCTTCGTTGGTTGACATAATGGCCTATATCAACCAATTAGGAACTACTCGAAAGTGCTGCAGAATATTGTCCTTATGACACTATTCTGAGAATATAACTCTTATAGTTAAATTCTGTTGACAATTTCTTATAAATTGTTATGTAACGATTCACCCCGTTACACTTAACTCTCACGACCAGAGACGTCTTAGAAAGACACGTGCCTGAAATTGATCAAAAGGGGAATTGAATAAATTTACTGATTCATAGTAATTGCAAACCTCACTTACGTCTTTAACCTTGAGACTATGCTACCTAATCGAATCAGTCTCATGGAGATTCTTCCGGTGTACCACACCAGAACTACGCCCCCCATTTGAAAACTCCATTATCTTGGAAATACTTTAACTATAACAGATAGGGTACGGTATGATCGCTTAGCGTATGTGATACAATAGTACGGCTTATCAGTAACTGATCTCATTCTGTGTGTACCACACCAGCGTACCTGGTGTTCACAATCGTTGTGTAAACCCATTACAACCTTTCAAATCTCAAGATCAAGTGCTGCACAAAAAATTAGGCAGGGGACTAATCACAATGCAGAGAGAAGACGGATGCCACCAAGCCAGTACGTAAACGCTGACAACAGTGCTATTATCGGCTGCTCAACTTCACAATAGCTACTTCAATGCCGTGTTTTGTCGGTTCCATGTGAGTACATATTCTGTATCATCCAATTAGCTCCGAGGGATGCTAATGAAACAAAGGATAGAGCTTGACCCCCGCAGGCGATGTTTGGTTTTACTTCTGAAAGCGATGATCACTGAAAAAATGAGGTCTTGACGATGAAATGGGGGTTGTTGGATTTGTGAATGATGGAGATTTCATGACGGTATAGGTCACACGTACCAGGACCAGGTGGGACAAAGTACAGGTGATTGCTATAGCTTATCAAAATACGAAATTTTCTAGGCCTCGAATCGTGCACTATCCTTCTGGATTCTGACGCAGTCAAACCAGAAGTGATCACTTTATGTAACAAGGGGGTGAGAAATCGAAGGGGGTTCTTAAAATTCCCAGTGGTTTTTGCGAAATGCTCGCATTCAGACGATTACTTAAAGCGTCTCTTTCCGGATGTGGGCATTCCTCTTTCTTTGCAGGTCAGACAGTAATATCGGCACCTTCTCCGTTCGATCACCCTCTTCACAGCATAATTTACATGACCGAGGCTAATGAAAACATCGCTTCTATGCCGCTGGGACGTCTTCGTGGCTGCGAAAGAATGTCGAGCCACAAATATTGGGGCAGCACTGTTCCAGAGAACCGAAGAAGGTGTCAATCCTACTGTCTGAACTGCGAAGAAAGAGGGATGCATACATCTAGAAAAGTAACATACCAAGTAATCGTCCGAATGCGGGCATTTTGCAAAAAAGCTACCTGGCATTATAAGAATGCCCATCCGAAGAGAGAGAGAAGAGGTGGACAAAAAGGATGGCCGGAACACCTCCGGTAAAAGACTAAACTCTTCTTTGTATCCTTTATCATACAATTGACATAAATAGTGCTTTTGGGTCGTGCCCTGTGATCCCACTGATCAACCAAACACAAAATCCGTTGTGCCTGTGAAAGCTGTTAATCATGCGTCATGATGCACTATTAACTACAGAGTTTTAGTGTTGGTATTGTGCTAGCGCTGGATCACCCCTATTGTGGCGGAGCAGCACCGCTCGTAGTCAGAGAAAGACTAACCACTACAGATATCACTTTGTTGTACGAAACTAAGTTCCCATCAGTATAAAGAGTGTTTAGTTCTTAGGACTAACCAACAAGACTCGGGGAGTCTTCAAGTTCGTAGAGCTTCTAGTCCTGGTTCAAGGGCTTACAACGACTCCATGAATCGTACGCACAATGTGCTCCAGAGTTACGCCACAAGCTGGCTCTTACTTTTGACAATCTGCAGACGACTAAACTAGACTCGTGGCAATCGAAGATCGAAAGGGACACTGGACTTTTATTTCATAGTTCTCTATCTGTAATAAACCTCGTTCAACGGCCTGATACTAAAATTAAACTAATTCGCATAGTAATTTTTTGTATACTAAAGATTGATGGATGGCACATCACTCTGTCATCAATGGATGACGGAGGTTGTCAACCACATCAATTGTCACAGATAAATCTTGGTGTTGCGTAACACATATCCAAGGTCTACCCCTTTACGACGATAACGGTCGTGTTCCCTCGTTACAATGAACGTATTCAGGATTAGATCCTAGGCTTCAAGCCGGTCTGGTAGGTTCATTTCTACCCGGATAAGTTTCACATGTTGCTTTTCAAGTGCCCACTTACAGGATTCACGACCAGGTGGCGTACCTTTTGCACACTCGCTTCACCTTATCTACCAACTTGGTTCCCCTTTTAAAGCCAGTCGGTGGTGCGGTTTAGATTCGTATCTGCAGCGCACCCGCCGGGGTTTAACCAGCGCATCCCGGTCAGAACAGCCGTGGCTAACCACTGCACCGTCCCGATCGGTTTTTCAAGCCGGTCTGGAACAAGCCTATTCGTCATTGCTAGGCTTCACTGGATATTGCGAGTGTACGTGCAGACCAACACCAGTGACTTGGTAGAGAGTATACCAATCCTGGCGAGAGCTCCCAGCCGACCAGGCGAGAGCTTTCAGACCAGGCGAGAGAGATTGGCAGCTCCTTTACATTCCCACGTGCTGTCGTAGGGATCTTGTCTCGAGCCCTTAGACTTATTGCACAAAACTTTCTCGGACGGATTGGCTCCCACCGCGTCCCTACACCTCTACGTGCTCATAAGACTGTTGTTTGACAATTCTTTGAGGCAGTGGTTATCTGAACGTTGTCGCCGGTCGTGAACGCCTTTTCTTCCATGACGCTTTCTCTCAAAACAGACTTTTATAGACGCCTACTTCTTTTGCCGATCCTTTACAAGGGGATTTTAAGATACGCATGTGTGCAAATGTTCTGTGATTCGGCGGGCGTTGCGACGGCATATCGGCGCATGCTTTAAAGTGGCCATTATCGATTTTGCATTGACGAAGAACACTCCTAACTGTAGCATGCGTTTCTTCGGTGTTTCTCTTCTCGCTGTTGGCGTTCTCTGCGTGAACCGTGTCGCGGGTGGATCCGCACCGATGATGAGTTCAAACGGGGCGGGGGCGCCTTGAAAAGCAATTACGGTAGAAACCTGCCGCCTCCAGCTCCTAAGAAACTTTGAGAGGTGACAGAACTGGAGCCGATAACCGAGCGGCGGTGACGGCGATGGCAAGCAGCAAAGGTAGCTGTTCGACTTCGAAGCTCTTCTTCGACAAAGAAGTAAGAATGACGACGAGAGACCTGCTAGGTAGCTGCAACAGGACGCGCCATTTTCTTCAGTGTCAAGTTCCGTCTCCAGATTTGCGTTGCCGCGGATTCAAGATGCTGATTAACACTGGGGTTGACGATCTCGGTTCTAATCAACAAGAAAAAGTTCAACCGCATTTGTATTTGTTGTGTCAAGTGCTTCTGTCTCCAGTGGTATGCAGGGTATGAAGCTAAACTGCGCTCCATGAGATCGAGTGTTCATGCTCGATAAGTGCCGCTAATCGGCCAATCGTCTTGATCAACATTGATGCTACTTTACGAGGTGCAGCACCTTCAAGCACATAGTCGTTCAAGATGTGTTCTCGTCCACTGTGCTTCGTGGCCGTCAAGTGCTTTGTGGCCTAACATGTTTCGTACGAATGCCTGGCGTCAGGTTGCCTCTACTTAAAGCAGTCGCGTGTCGATCATAGCCGTTCGTAAAGAGAGTCTGAAAGCAGGATGCGCCGTCTGCTTGACACTGAGGGCTAAACCTGCTGCAAGGCGCTGGCATCTTGCAGCGAAGCAAGACCAATGCGTTTACATCGCACTGCAGTGGCTTGTAAACAAACTCCAGACCGCACCTGGCCAACCGGTTGACTGCACTGGAAATCGTAGTCGAGCTCAATCCAAAAATACATCAAAGAAACAGCGAAAGTCGATCGTTGTCCAGCTGTTGCCGCTCACGGTCGTCTCTATACTTTGGTCCACCGAACATCTCGAGAAACGAAGCCGTCGACGTCAGCAGATGACCTTCATCGACTTTCACAGGTATCCCGTGGTTCTCGCTATTCGGTTGAACAGGGAAGCGAGGACCCACGACCGTCAATAGTGAATCAAAATGCTGCTCACGTTCCTGGAGAAGCTCCCGCTGAGCCAGGGCGGCAAGGTGTTCGTCGGCGCGTCCCTGTGTCTCGCCGTCTGCGCGTACCCTGTCATCCAGAAGCGTAGGCCGCGCTCGTTCTCGTTGCTCTCTATGCTGTCTTCTAGTGTACCCATCCTGTTTCCCCTCATTCTCTCCTTCTGTCTCTCTATCTCTTCTATAGAACGAAAGACTGGCCACGACCTCTTCTCTTCGGAGCGACCGCAAGCTATTGTGGACCAGGAGGTGAAGGCGCGTCGGGAGAAGCTCAATATCAAGTAGGAACCTGCTGCAGTTGGTGATGCTGGGTGTGTCGTAGAGTGCGGGACTTCAGTGTGAGCTTCACAGGAGCGTCGAACAGCTACGTTAGCTGGTGGAGAATCAAAGGTCCTCAGCTGGCTGCTGACACTGTTGTGGCACTAAGACCACCATCCTGGTTACATCATGTTATACGAGGATGCTTGCACTTTGTACTGCATCGGACCTTTCTTCAACAAGTAACACTCGTTGCGTAGAATGCCCACGAAATCTCGAAAGTCGTCCACCTTTAGCGCCATGCTATCGGCCACTTCGAGCAAGTCGTCCATGGAGAAGAGAGACGTGTTGCGTCTGGCTGCAGCTTTCATCAGTCGTGCGACGTACGCTTTCACTTTCTTGGCCAGACTCATTCCTCCACTGCGGCCAAAGTCGAGGCTGACGTCTTCAGCGACGGACGTGTCCAGCAAACATTCTTGCATGATCTCAACGACGTCTTGTGCATGCTCGACCGAGACTGTTTCGGCGAGTTCCGCTCGAGCACGTGCTTGTGAGAGACGTATCAACGATTCGAGCTGCCGTGTGGTTATGGGAACGCTGTCCGTCGAGTTGTGCTGGCCCTCACCCGCTGAACGCATCTCCAAGTACTTCTTTTGAAGCACGGCTGCAGCCTCAGGCGATAGACGCGGATGCACGTACCGGCGAGCATAGGCGATGAACTTGCGCACAAAGTAGAGCGGTATGGGGTTCATGCTGAACTCGGACGCGTTTTGACGGAGACGGTGCGATAGCATGCGATGACCAGACGCTGCCGCTTCTTCGTAACTGCGTGACGGTGGAGTGTCAGCACACTTGCTAGAGGTCCATGAGCTCATCGATGTACAATTTTCTCGCCCGCGCTTCCTCGACTTGCGCGTGCCGCGTGCATGAGAGTTCATTACATGCTCCGACAGCAGTCGATCTCTTTCTTCATCTGGCCGGTCCAGCAGGATGAGAACGAGATCAAAGCGAGACAGGAGCGGAGCTTTCATTTTCAGGTTCTCTCTCACCGAACGACTGCGGTCATAGTGGCCGCCGCTAGGGTTGGCAGCGGCAATGACGGATGTCCGTGCATTGAGGTTGCACACGATACCGGCTTTGGCAATGCTAATGCTCTGCTGCACATCGACGAGGTTGCAATTTAGACAGTGGTTGGTAGTAGAAGTAGTAGTCAGTCAAGCATGAATTATATTGAGTAAATGTCAATTATACAGTCATCATAAACCTAAGATGCTCGTGACCACTTTGAAATAACCTTAAATGTATAGCTCACGTCTCAAGATTGGGTACAGGTCGAAATAGAGTAGCCCCTACGATAATGCGCTCACAAAATCCGTCTCCGAGCACCCTCGTGGGCGCCGCCACGTGCGTGTGGAACCAGTACTACCCCGAAGACCACTGTATAGGTATCCGCCAACCTGGAGAGACCCGCTCCGTGCAGTATTACCGTCCAATCAGCGACACAGATGGCCGATTCCAAGCTGCCATGGCCTTCCTCAACTGTTTCCGGCATGGCGAACAGTGGGCACCATTACTTCAAGTACGAACTGATGTCGATTCTTACTTGATGGTACCGTTAATCATGTTATACTCGTGCTGCAGTGTGACTTGACCCAGGCGAACGTGACGGTGGTGTGGCTGCACTATCTGGAGCTCATTCGGACTGGAACGGAGGACTTTGAGCAAGCAGTGACGGAAAACATCGAAGACGTGCTGCTTTGTATGGGCATCGCGCTGTGTATGCGGCGACATGAGCTCCGTATGGAGATTGAAGAAGATGTGACGAGGAAACGAAGCGTGCCCGTAGACCGCACCAAGATCACTGTTCGATTGCATGGCGTGACGCCGGTGTTGCCCATTGCAGCGTTGAAAGCAGAATTGGTGAATCAGTTTGTCAGCGTTGTTGGCACAGTCGTGAGAGTGAGCGCTATCAAGCCGCTTGTAACAAGATGTGACTTCGTGTGTGCGAAGTGTAATGAAGCGACGTCGAGAGCCTTTCCAGAGGGAAATTTTACTTCGCCGCAGGGATGTGAGAACTCGACCTGTCGAGGTAGAACGCTGCTACCGAACCGATCTTCTGTAGATACGGTGGATTATCAGAAAGTCAAGTGGGTTGAGATGAAGTTCGAGCAGAATTCTTCGTGACTACGACTAATTCGTCACGCTGTTGTTGTTGTTGGTGTCGTGATTGCCAAGGCTGCAGGAAATGGAAGCCACCGATGTTGGTCCTGGTCGTGTTCCACGAATGGTAACATGTGACATGCACATAGTCCGCCAGTGTGTTACTTACGTCCAAACCCGTTCATCACGGTACATGTAGATTGAGGTGGAATTATACGAAGATCTTGTGGACTCCTGCATTCCCGGAAACGTGGTGACGATTTCGGGTATTGTAAAGAGCGTCAATTCAGAAATTCATGGAGGCAGGTATGGCAAGCGTGCGCAAGCGAATAGCCTTTATATATTGTACATCAGCGCCAACTCAGTCGAAAACTCAGCAAAGGTAACTTTCGCGATGCTATGAAGTACTTGCTGAATGCTAAATTGTTCCACGGTGTTTCTGCTTGCTTCCATACAGGCGGAAAAAGACAAAGACAAAGCTTCGGATATTGATTTTGCCAAAGAAGACCTCGAACAGATCAGCAGTATCATCAATGACGGCAACGTCTTCGACCGGCTTATACATTCCCTGTGTCCTGGCATTTATCGCAACGACATCGTGAAGGCTGGTCTGATTCTGGCATTACTCGGAGGAACCCGGAACTCGGATGACAAAGACACGCCATGCGTGAGCAGAGCAGATTCGCACGTGTTGGTTGTTGGCGATCCTGGTCTGGGCAAGAGTCAGATGCTTCGGGCTGTGTCCATGGTTGCGCCACGCGCTGTGTATGTGGGCGGAAACACCACTACCACGACGGGGTTGACTGTCACAATGGTAAAAGACGGATCTGGCGACTATGCGCTGGAAGCCGGTGCTCTTGTTCTTGCCGATCGAGGAGTGTGCTGCATCGACGAGTTTGACAAACTGGGTATCGACTATCAGGCTTTACTAGAAGCGATGGAGCAGCAGAGCATTAGCATTGCCAAAGCCGGTATCGTGTGCAACCTCAATGCACGGACATCCGTCATTGCTGCTGCCAACCCTAGCGGCGGCCACTATGACCGCAGTCGTTCGGTGAGAGAGAACCTGAAAATGAAAGCTCCGCTCCTGTCTCGCTTTGATCTCGTTTTCATCCTGCTGGACCGGCCAGATGAAGAAAGAGATCGACTGCTGTCGGAGCATGTAATGAACTCTCATGCACGCGGCACGCGCAAGTCGAGGAAGCGCGGGCGAGAAAATTGTACATCGATGAGCTCATGGACCTCTAGCAAGTGTGCTGACACTCCACCGTCACGCAGTTACGAAGAAGCGGCAGCGTCTGGTCATCGCATGCTATCGCACCGTCTCCGTCAAAACGCGTCCGAGTTCAGCATGAACCCCATACCGCTCTACTTTGTGCGCAAGTTCATCGCCTATGCTCGCCGGTACGTGCATCCGCGTCTGTCATCGGAGGCTGCTGTAGTGCTTCAAAAGAAGTATTTGGAGCTTCGTTCAGCGGGTGAGGGCCAGCACAACTCGACGGACAGCGTTCCCATAACCACACGGCAGCTCGAGTCGCTGATTCGTCTCTCACAAGCGCGTGCTCGAGCGGAACTCGCCGAAACAGTCTCGGTCGAGCATGCACAAGACGTCGTTGAGATCATGCAAGAATGTTTGCTGGACACGTCCGTCGCTGAAGACGTCAGCCTCGACTTTGGCCGCAGTGGAGGAATGAGTCTGGCCAAGAAAGTGAAAGCGTACGTCGCACGACTGATGAAAGCTGCAGCCAGACGCAACACGTCTCTCTTCTCCATGGACGACTTGCTCGAAGTGGCCGATAGCATGGCGCTAAAGGTGGACGACTTTCGAGATTTCGTGGACATTCTACGCAACGAGTGTTACTTGTTGAAGAAAGGTCCGATGCAGTACAAAGTGCAAGCATCCTCGTATAACATGATGTAACCAGGATGGTGGTCTTAGTGCCACAACAGTGTCAGCAGCCAGCTGAGGACCTTTGATTCTCCACCAGCTAACGTAGCTGTTCGACGCTCCTGTGAAGCTCACACTGAAGTCCCGCACTCTACGACACACCCAGCATCACCAACTGCAGCAGGTTCCTACTTGATATTGAGCTTCTCCCGACGCGCCTTCACCTCCTGGTCCACAATAGCTTGCGGTCGCTCCGAAGAGAAGAGGTCGTGGCCAGTCTTTCGTTCTATAGAGGAGATAGAGAGACAGAAGGAGAGAATGAGGGGAAACAGGATGGGTACACTAGAAGACAGCATAGAGAGCAACGAGAACGAGCGCAGCCTACGCTTCTGGATGACAGGGTACGCGCAGACGGCGAGACACAGGGACGTGCCGACGAACACCTTGCCGCCCTGGCTCAGCGGGAGCTTCTCCAGGAACGTGAGCAGCATTTTGATTCACTATTGACGGTCGTGGGTCCTCGCTTCCCTGTTCAACCGAATAGCGAGAACCACGGGATACCTGTGAAAGTCGATGAAGGTCATCTGCTGACGTCGACGGCTTCGTTTCTCGAGATGTTCGGTGGACCAAAGTATAGAGACGACCGTGAGCGGCAACAGCTGGACAACGATCGACTTTCGCTGTTTCTTTGATGTATTTTTGGATTGAGCTCGACTACGATTTCCAGTGCAGTCAACCGGTTGGCCAGGTGCGGTCTGGAGTTTGTTTACAAGCCACTGCAGTGCGATGTAAACGCATTGGTCTTGCTTCGCTGCAAGATGCCAGCGCCTTGCAGCAGGTTTAGCCCTCAGTGTCAAGCAGACGGCGCATCCTGCTTTTAGACTCTCTTTACGAACGGCTATGATCGACACGCGGCTGCTTTAAGTAGAGGCAACCTGACGCCAGGCATTCGTACGAAACATGTTAGGCCACAAAGCACTTGACGGCCATGAAGCACAATGGACGAGAACACATCTTGAACGACTATGTGCTTGAAGGTGCTGCACCTCGTAAAGTAGCATCAATGTTGATCAAGACGATTGGCCATTAGCGTCACCTTGTCGAACAGGAACACTCGATCTCTTGGAGCACAGTTTTTCTCCATACCCTGCATACCACTGGAGACAGAAGCACTTGACACAACAAATACAAATGCGGTTGAACTTTTTCTTGTTGATTAGAACCGAGATCGTCAACCCCAGTGTTAATCAGCATCTTGAATCCGCGGCAACGCAAATCTGGAGACGGAACTTGACACTGAAGAAAATGGCGCGTCCTGTTGCAGCAAGCTAGCAGGTCTCTCGTCGTCATTCTTACTTCTTTGTCGAAGAAGAGCTTCGAAGTCGAACAGCTAACTTTGCTGCTTGCCATCGCCGTCACCGCCGCTCGGTTATCGGCTCCAGTTCTGTCACCTCTCAAAGTTTCTTAGAAGCTGGAGGCGGCACCTTTTTACCGTAATTGCCTTTTGAGGCGACCCCCGCCGCGTTTGAACTAATGATCGGTGCGGATCCACCTGCGACACGGTTCACGCAGAGAACGCCAACAGCGAGGAGAAAAACACCGAAGAAGCGCATGCTACAGTTAGGAGTGTCTTCGTTGATGCAAAATCGATAATGGCCACTTTAGAGCGTGCGCCGATATGCCGTCGCAACGCCCGCCGAATCACGGAACATTTGCACACATGCGTGTCTTTAGACCTCCTGGTAAATGTTTACCAACAGATGTGGTCGACTGTAAAGGTCTTTTTTAGAGAAGGCGCCATGGAAGGGAAGGCGTTTACAACCGGTGATTATGTTCAGATAACCACTGCCTCAAAGAATTGTCAAACAACAGTCTTATGAGCACGTAGAGGTGTAGGGACGCGGTGGGAGCCAATCCGTCCGAGAAAGTTTTGTGCAATAAGTCTAAGGGCTCGAGACAAGATCCCTACGACAGCACGTGGGAATGTAAAGGAGCTGCAAATCTCTCTCGCCTGGTCTGAAAGCTCTCGCCTGGTCGGCTTGAAGCTCTCGCCAGGATTGGTATACTCTCTACCAAGTCACTGGTGTTGGTCTGCACGTACACTCGCAATATCCAGTGAAGCCTAGCAATGACGAATAGGCTTGTTCCAGACCGGCTTGAAAAACCGATCGGGACGGTGCAGTGGTTAGCCACGGCTGTTCTGACCGGGATGCGCTGGTTGAACCCCGGCAGGTGCGCTGCAGATACGAATCTAAACCGCACCACCGACTGGCTTTAAAAGGGGAACCAAGTTGGTAGATAAGGTGAAGCGAGTGTGCAAAAGGTACGCCACCTGGTCGTGAATCCTGTAAGTGGGCACTTGAAAAGCAACATGTGAAACTTATCCGGGTAGAAATGAACCTACCAGACCGGCTTGAAGCCTAGGATCTAATCCTGAATACGTTCATTGTAACGAGGGAACACGACCGTTATCGTCGTAAAGGGGTAGACCTTGGATATGTGTTACGCAACACCAAGATTTATCTGTGACAATTGATGTGGTTGACAACCTCCGTCATCCATTGATGACAGAGTGATGTGCCATCCATCAATCTTTAGTATACAAAAAAGATTACTATGCGAATTAGTTTAATTTTAGTATCAGGTCGTTGAACGAGGTTTATTACAGATAGAGAACTATGAAATAAAAGTCCAGTGTCCCTTTCGATCTTCGATTGCCACGAGTCTAGTTTAGTCGTCTGCAGATTGTCAAGAGTAAGAGCCAGCTTGTGGCGTAACTCTGGAGCACATTGTGCGTACGATTCATGGAGTCGTTGTAAGCCCTTGAACCAGGACTAGAAGCTCTACGAACTTGAAGACTCCCCGAGTCTTGTTGGTTAGTCCTAAGAACTAAACACTCTTTATACTGATGGGAACTTAGTTTCGTACAACAAAGTGATATCTGTAGTGGTTAGTCTTTCTCTGACTACGAGCGGTGCTGCTCCGCCACAATAGGGGTGATCCAGCGCTAGCACAATACCAACGCTAAAACTCTGTAGTTAATAGTGCATCATGACGCATGATTAACAGCTTTCACAGGCACAACGGATTTTGTGTTTGGTTGATCAGTGGGATCACAGGGCACGACCCAAAAGCACTATTTATGTCAATTGTATGATAAAGGATACAAAGAAGAGTTGATTCTTCCAAAGTAAATGTCACTGTTAGCACCATCCTCGGTCAAAAGTCTCATTATCAGCACCAGTCCCAACAGCACCAGCCAGTAATCAAGTTAGTGTAGATTACACTACTTGATGCTTTAAACATAAGAGCAATATAATGCTATTAGCGCCACGAGTTTAAGTGCTAAAAAAATAGCAAGATTTATCAAGATGTCAAGCGAAAAGGAGGCGATTGATCTATATGCAAGTTAAGGAGCCACTAAATTGGCTCATGGACAAAAATTTCAGTCCGGGTTTGCTGCAACTAGGTTTCTGAAAGACTACTGTTTTAATCAGAAACGGCAGCGCAGAGTCAAAAAAAGTAATGCAACAGCAAGATGTATGTGTGCCCACAGGGGGCCATGGGAGGTACGTCTGACGAAGAGAAAGTGGATTGGTCCAGTTCCAAAGCACTACATTTCCACTTTAAATGATATTCACGCCGACGTGTGCCTGACAACCGCCAAGCCATCTGCTCGGCAAATTTAAACCTTCCTACATCTAAGTCCACCGTACAAGGTGACAAAGGCATCAAGCGAAAAGCAGATGTGGCTCTCGTCCAGGCTCGTGACGGCACTAATCTGCAGCACTCTCGAAATAAAGTTTACAGAGCCAATGAGGCCGTTATCGAAGAAATGGATGGATAGTGGCAATCATCATTTCACGTCTTGCACCGCACCTGATTGAGTTGTGGCGCGTTAATCCAGTAAGCAGTGTTGCACTCGAAGCTGACCAGGAAGATCGTTTTTTTCTCCATTTTGTGGCTTTCGGCGCATCTATAAGAAGACATTAATTTAATTTGCCGTTAGTCGGCTTTGATAGGACGCACTCGCGTCACGGCAAGTACAATGGTGTCATTCTCTTTCTAACTAGACAAGATGGAAACGGCAAAAATGTCACCCTCGCCACGGCATTTGTGCACGTGGAGAATCAAGATAACATCACGTGGTTTTTTATCTACTGTATCGACGCCGTGATTGATCTCGAGAACATCACAGTATTGTGTGACCGTAATAAAATTCAGGGTGTCGCTAAATTACTCTAGACAAGAATGGGTATCAGTATCCAATTTCGATTTTGCACAATTCACATTATGCGCAATGTTAAGCGAAACTCTGGATTGTAGGGGACCGAGGTCAAGCAATTTGTTTGAAAAATTCAGTCAGCAGAGACTCAAACTGACTACAAATCTTCAGTCACGGCGCTGCGTGCAGAGATGGGAAATGATGTCGCCAAGTATGTTAAAGGCATTGAACTAATATACTGGACAATTTTCGCAAATGATACAGCGCAATTTGACGGTGCATGCACGAGCTCGCAGCAAGTTGACATACGTATACCCCCAAAGAGACCATGTCCACTTTTTGGGTGGCGCACTACCAACTTCGTGAAAAGTGATAACAACACTCTTTTTTTAATGACGTTCGTGATGCAGCACCTCTCGAGGCTATTAATATATCAAACGAAGGCAGCTATGGGTATATCAGTTTAAGTAAAGATTGTATTAAGATGTGGGCACTAAAAACCTTACAGTGACTCCTCACGCAGGATCTCTTGGAAGGCCGAGCAGGCTGATGCCGGCGATTACGAATTGAATCGGCCGTCTTCTGGTTTATGGTATGCCTTGAAACAGGGCTTTAATCGATACAGGCGTGTCGAGGTTGAGTCAATGGAGTGCTCATGTTCTACCTACACACAAAAAGGGTTGCCATGCCGCCACCTAAATGCTGTTCCATTAGCTGCTAAGTCCACTAAAGATGTGACGTCCCATTCCACCCGTCGTACCTTGTGGACACCTAAAACAGGGCTATATGGGAAGGGCAACTGAAGTGG